TTTAAAACTCTGTACATAATATTGAAGGCTTTTTCAAGAAATTCAGCTTTTTCTGTTTCTTTCCTTTCTTTTTTTAAAAATGGGGTTTCCTTATATGCTAAGGTCATCCACAAATTCCTGAGCTCAAGTAATCCTCCTTTCTTAGCTCTTTGAATAGTTGGGAATGTAGATGCACACCACCATACCAAGCTTAAAGAAGGTAACCTTGAAGCATCTGACAAATACTTTCCTTTGTCCTCTTGATGAAAATATATGCAACTTTTATATGGTTTAAATATTGATTCAAATACATTTTGATCTTTTAAGTCATTATCAACACACTACAAATAAATCTTTATTTATTTATTTAATTATTTATTTGTTTGTTTGTTTGTTTGTTTTTTCAAGACAGGGTTTCTCTGTGTAGCTTTGCACCTTTCCTGGGACTCACTTGGTAGCCCAGGCTGGCCTCGAACTCACAGAGATCCACCTGGCTCTGCCTCCCGAGTGCTGGGATCAAAGGTGTGCACAACCATCACCTGGCTAACCTTTGTTTATCTTATAACCTTCCTGGAGTTCAAAATCTGTGTTGCCAACATAGTCACCAAGAAAATCAAACCAAAGACAGTGAAACACAATATTTTTCTATTGTTTTATTGATAAATTTTATTGGGGAAGATGGAAAAACTTTAAAGTCAAGACACATGCAGTATACAACCAATGTAAGCAGATGTACAAATACAGGTGTTCTATCAAAGGTAAACATTTCAAAATAATAGAATATGTTCTTTCTTTTTTCCTATTATTATTATTATTATTATTACTATTATTATTATTATTTTGGTTTCTTGAGACAGGGTTTCTTTGTGCAACAGTTCTGGCTGTCCTGGAACTTGCTTTGTAGACCAAGCTGGCCTAGAACTTAGAAATCCACCTGCCTCTGCCTCCTGAGTGCTGGGATTAAAGGCATGGGCCACCACCACCAGCTTAGAATACATTCTTTCATTCAGCTGAGATCATTAATGTGAATTTTCTGGACCTTCATGAACTTTGCCCTGTTTTCATTACAATGCAGATCATAGCTGGTGGTGGGTTTTTAAAATAGGAACACATTATAATGCTCCCAGTATTCAAGTTATATATGTGATGTGAGTATCAGCTAAAGACGAAATAAATCTTCAAAGTGTAAAGATAGAAGGACCATGAGTTCAGTTTTAAGAGCTCAATAGATGTATCTGCTATTAAAGTTGAAAAGGTCTTTAGAGATTCTGAGTTCAACTAATTATTTCACAGATAAATGACCACAATTCAGAGAGGCTGACTTCTTCATCTATGGTTAGGTGTCTCCAGCAGAGCACAGACTTATTTTAGTCTTCTTTCTAATCAGGTCTCTTTCTATGAATCCCCACAGCTTGATATGTAGGTGAAGTGGGAGGGATTAGAGTAAGTACTGTCTAATGTATGTATGTATGAATGTATGTATCTATGTAATATATAAGTATACGAGCCTGGATCCTACCAGCACCTGCCCCGGGGAGGGGGGCACAGCAGTCATCTTAGCAGCAGCACTTCTTGCAGCCACACTTCTGCTGGCAGCAGCCCTTCTGCTGGCAACAACAGCCCTTCCCACAGCCACAGCCACAGCCACAGGAGCCACAGCCACAGGAGCGGCAGCAGGTGCGGCGGCAGCAGCAGACCACAGGGGTGCAGCAGCCACAGCAGCCACAGCAGCGACCACAGCCACAGCAGCCACCGCAGCAGCCACCGCAGCAGCCAACCCGGTAGCACCTGCAGGTGGTGCAGCTGTTGCAGCCACCACAGCCGCCACAACCGCCACAGCCACCACAGCTGCCACAGCCACCACAGCTGCCACAGCCTCCACAGCTGCCACAGCCTCCACAGCCACCACAGCCACCACAGCCACCACAGCCACCGCAACCCATGGTTTCAGAAGAGAGGACTCAGGTCAAATGAGCAGAAAAGTGACTTGGGAGAAGAGAGGATAGTCTGATGTCTTCTTCTGCTGGGAGCAGGGCTTATATACCATCTCTGAGCAAGCATCACCGAAGCACATGATTTCTATTGTTTATCTCAGTTTCCTGGAAAGAATTCTTCAGCACCAAAGGTTTACTTCCTTCTTAGGGACTTTTAACCTCACAAACAAACAGCTTATTTTTAGCTATGATTGTATTTGTTTTGAAAACATATTTACGGTTGGGCTCTGGAATAGTTTGCTTACATACTATTGTCTGTGCAACCAATGAGAGTCTCGCTCTGATGTTTTATTTGAACCTAGTGTGACTGGAATCGAGAGACCAACCATTCCCCATGTTCTTACTACTCATCGCTGACCTCTGCAGAGATGACACAAATAAGTACTTCCAGAGGACCAGCCAACCAGAGGTTTCAAAGCATTTCCGGAATCTGCATGCCCTTGGTTTATATGTTCAGTAGTTGGGTTTGATCCCGGCACCTCAAAGAATAAATGGGCAAAGGTATTTGTTTGTTTGTTTGTTTTTTGCAGTGGTGGGACATGCCTTTAATCCCAACACTCAGGAGGCAGAGGCAGGCTGATCTCTGTGAGTTCGAGGCCAGCCTGGGCTACAGAGTGAGTTCCAGGAAAGACACAAAGCTACACAGAGAAACCCTGTCTCAAAAAACAAAAAAACAAACAACAAAAAAGAGAGAGACAGAGATAATGAAAGTCACCTCAAAAGTTAGCGCAAAGAGGACTCTTCCAGAATTTCACCATGACACCTGGAGCTGCTGTTGTACTATCAGCCACGAGACATCTACCTGCACAAATGAGACACATAACTAGTCCTTGGTCCTGTGTCTCCTGTCTGAATGACCCACAGTTTTCCCCTGTGGTATAACGCCTTTCTATGGAACCATAAATGGAACAGTGGGAATAGTAAGAAAACAAAACAGTATTTTAGGGCATTTGAAATGCACCCCTGCAGGAACCTGTGCTGAAGTCACAGCATCTGTGGAAACAGTGATGTCAATGCCCAGTGCTAAGCCCTATCCTAGAGACATTTGTCCCAGGGGCAATGGCAGAGGCGTCCACATGCTATGGCTCTTCAATAAGTGAAGAGATTCTTCATGCATCCAGGACCACCCTCAAATCTAGATAAGAGGTGCCCTGGCCACTTCAGAATCTCACATATCACAGTCCAGCAAACAGTAGACCTAATAAAAAACAAAACGAAGCTGTGAAGGCAAGGATGGAGAGATGTTCAGTGAATGAGACCACTTGCTGTACAAACAGAAGAACCTGAGTCTGGATCCCAACACACACACACACACACACACACACACACACACACACACACACACTCACACTCACACTCACACACACAAAGCCAGGTATGGCTGAGAGTATGCGTATGTGGGGGCCAAGACAAGAGGCTAACTGAGTCTTTCTAGCTGCCACCCCCAGCTCCAGGTTCCGTTGAGAGACCCTGCCTCAAAGAAATAAAGTGGACAGTGATGGAACAGTAGTAGTACACTCGATGTCCTCCTCTGGCCTCCGTATCCTGATAGGTACATACACTTCCTCATGTATATGTACAAATACCACACATACACACTCAAAGTCACACACACACACACACACACACACACACACACACACACACACACACAATAAGAACACAAAGGCCTCTCTGCCTCTAAGGATCAAGGCTCAGCTTGTACCTTGGCTGTACTTTGCTAACACAGCTGAGGCCCAGGATGCGCTTTCGCTCCATAGCCTCAAACCAGAGATGCCTGTCTCTAAACAGCTCATCTGCGGTTGACTGTTTCTGGGTGTCGGGAAGACCGTGTGACAGACAGATTTAAGGGCAAGGAAAACAGGTGAAACTGTCTTGTCGTTCCAAAAGCATGAGCAGTAAATGATGACTTCCAGGGAGCAGTGGCCAGCGTGCGTTTGCCTCCTGGTTCTGAGATCCCTTCGTGGTTCTGAGCCACCCCAGTTTTTATGTAGAGACCATAGCTGCTTCATACCAGAGCTGAACAGCGTTTTTAACATCAAACAATTGGCATTTTGTTCACATTGAAGTCTAAATATGGCTATACAAAATAGCTCATTAATTCTTTATTTGGCAGTAAAAGGACACTAAGCTTATGAATATTGCCTTTATAACATTTTTGGCTGGGCAGTGGTGGTGCACACCTTTAATTTTCAGCACTTGGGAGTCAGAGAGGTAGGCAGGTCTCTGTGAGTTCAAGGCCAGCCTGGTCTACAAAGTGAGTCCCAGGACAGCTAGGGTTACACAGAGAAACCCTGTCTCAAAAAAACCAAACCAAACAAACAAAGAAACATTTTTGAAAAAAAATGTATATTTTTAAGGAGTGGATAAGTATTATGGACTCTCTTAAGTAATTTTATGTAGACACCGAGTTGGGGAGACAGCTTAGGTGGGTAAAGTGGTCGTCATACAGGCACAAGGACCTGACTGGGATCCCTAACACCCACATAAAAACTTGATGTAGCAGTTCATGCCTGTAATCTCAGAACTGGTGAGGCAGAGACCAGGGGCTGGCTGAGCAGGCAAGCTAGCCTCAACAGTGAACAACATGAGAGACCCCGTGTCAAATATTAGTGGGAGTAAGACATACTGGTGTCAGCTTCTAGCCTCCACACATTGCCACATGGGCAAGTGTGCCTGTGCACACACCGTACATACATGTATACAAAAGAGTTAGATGTTCATTAATAGTAACACGTATACACAAAAATTAGATGTTCTTTACTAGTAGCATGTATACACAAAAATAGATGTTCATTAATATTAACATGTATACACAAAAATAGGTGTTCGTTAATAGTAACATGTATACAAAAAATAGATGTTCATTAATAGTAATTTGAATCTTTTTTTAAAAACTCTGTACATAATATTGAAGCTTTTTTCAAGAAATTTAACTTTTTCTGTTTTTTTCTTTTCTTTCTCTTTCTAAAAATGGGGTCTTGTTATACGCTCAGGTCATCCACAAACTCCTGAGCTCAAGCAATCCTTCTTTCTTAGCTCTTTGAATAGTTGGGAATGTAGATGCACACCACCATACTAAGCTTAAAGAAGGTAACTTTGAAGTATCTGACAAATACTTTCCTTTGTCCTGTTGATGAAAATATATGCAAATTTTATATGGTTTAAATATTGATTTAATTACATTTAATCTTTTAAGTCATAATCAACACACTACAAATATTTATTTATTTATTTATTTATTTATTTATTTATTTATTTATTTATTTATTTATTTATTTATTTGGTTTCTCAAGACAGGGTTTCTCTGTGTAGCTTTG